TGTGTCTCATGAAGTTAGCTCCTCCATGTTTTGGGGCCTGTGCAGCTCTTGCTTCACTGTCCCAGCCCATGGTTGCTGTTGCTTTCTCTGTGCTGTCACTGGTCCTGCTCCAGCCTCTGACAGCACCAGTGCCACAACCAGCTTTATAATCCCTAGTTGGACCTGTCCTTTCCCACCTGGCTGGTGCAGGATGCAGAGATGTAACAGCTAGACCTGTATGACTACAACAGGGTTTACTACCCAGGGCTACTGTTCCATTATTCAGTGCCATTGGGCTTATGCCTCGGTTGCGGAGTCCGTTGTACAAGTTTGTGTGGGGTGCTGGAGAAAGACACGTCCTTGATTCTGCATTGTATCTGGTAATTTGTTGGAGAAAGAGGACATGAGTAGCGATCTTTCTATCTGCCTGCTTTTTCTACAGGTAGGTAGATACCTGTACAAACGCTATTTCGGGCATTTAATCTGGTGGAAATCTATAGGGTTTTTTATTGTATAACCACAAAAATTATCTTTTTATGTGAAATAACTAGAGCTTTTGTAATTAAAGCTATTAGAATCATTTAGCCGTTTATTTGGTGAATGAAATTAATAGACATGCACTATATTAAAATCAGAGCAGTTATACACTGTGCAAGATTCAAGCCTCCAGTTCAATCTGTTACCTGACCTCCTAACTTTCTCCATTTCTTTCTTTGCTTATATATTCAGTTCTTATTTGAAAGAGTACAAGGGGTGTCTAAAGCCACAATTATTGATTTGGATGCTCATCAGGTGAGTAGCTTACCTGTGTTCAGTGCTGCAGATGTTTTGCTTGAAATACAAGTGTGTGATAAATACCATTTTTTCTAATAGTAGTATAAACTATCAAGTCACAGAATACAAAGTTAGTCATAGATGATGAAAACTGTGAACAGTTTAATTATTTTATGGTCCAAGAGGCTGTTAAACCAGTTTAATTTTATTAAACTGAGTTATAGCGCCATCATGTGGTTAGATGTAAAAATATTTGAGTTGCATGCACAGTCTCCAGAGTAGGTCAGTATTCCAGAAGAAACAAGAATCTCTTAAAACAGAATTACAGTTAGTTCAGCATGCTTGATTGCAGCAACCTTTGCAGCGGATGAATTTGGTCTTTAGTGTTTTAATGGGAGGCCTGGCTTCAGGCTAATAAATACATCACTTTTTACCTGGTGATTTACTGTGGATACTGAGAACATATCTCGTCTTGGGTAGGCTTTCCAAAATAAATCCTCAAAAGAGGGAAATGGTATTTTTAGAAAAGCAGTTATTGCACCCAAATTATGTCCAGTCTGAAGCATTGAAGGTAACTTACTACGTGTAAATAAACCACTTTTGAGTAGCTCTATGGCAGTGAGGAAGCCTAATGTCTCCAAGTTTTCAGTCTTCTATAATTTCTCTTATCTGCAAGTTAAGGCATCATAAAATTACCATGAAATAAGGACACAGATTATGCAAGAGGAAGATGTTTTGTGTTCGTGATTCTCTTCAGCCATCTCTGTGAGGTTTTCCTGGGGGGATGTTTTTTATGGTTTTTTTGTTTGTGGTTTTTTTTTTTTTTTAAAAAAAAAAACCTTTTTGGAATGTATCTTGATTTTCAGGCATCATGCTGGTAATCTGACTGCACACTGAATCACCCCCTTGATTCCTTTCTTTGGGGAATGAGAGGCGGGTGAAGTAGTAGGTCAGCAGATATTTTTTAAGTATACGGATAGTCTTATCTTATCAGTGTTCCAATTCTTGGTGCATTGATGAGTTTTACCTTTCATAAGAAAATGGTTTGCACAGACACTCTCATACTCCTAGATTTCTGTTCATGAACTGTTTATTTGTGGACCAAAGGTGCTGAAGAAATAAGTAGGAGTTGCCATCAAGAAGCTCTGGTGCTTCTCATGCCCTTTTTCACACACATTGACTAGCTTTAGCCCAGTGATTCTTTCATTATTTTTGTTTGTTTCCAGGAGGTGAAGTTGTAGCAGAAATACATTTTAACTGTCCAGGGACGTAAATTATGTAACTGAATTACAGAAGATGTCTCTGTGGAAATGTCTGTTTCAGTAGTTTAAATTGAATTCTATTGGTGGTAGGGCCTGGGGTCCTGTAAGGTACACTGGTTTGAACAAAATTATCTTGGTGATTGCTGTGAAAAGGTGATTTTTATACTAGTGTAAAAAAGTGTAAATGAGAGCCAAAATACTACTATTGAAATTCAGAAATGGGGGAGGGGGAAATGTTCAGAATCTTGAGTGTTCTCTTGAGCATCCATCTTTGCACCCAATGCAATCTTTCTATAGGGAATTCCTGGTGCTAAACAGTATGTTAAACTGTTGGGTATTTAGTGTTTGTAATTCTTCCAGGGATTACTTATCTCACCAAGGTTTGAACTGTCCGAAGAGCTATGGTCTGCTTTATTTATTAATCCTGGTATAAGAATATGAGCATCCTTGCAGCAGTTGAAAGTGACTTTTTTTTTTTGCACAACTGGAAGAGCAGATATCTGTTTGGTGGTCACAGTTGCTTTTGTCATGCTGTTGAACACAATCAGAGTCTAATTTGCATTTATTTTTCTTATATGTGCAATGAGATCTATGATAATTACCTTCACAGGGATACAAGGATGTTGGTTTTGATAACACTTGCAGTCTTCAGACTGATACTGTCAAAGCCCCCAAAACTCTATACCTCAAAATAACCCTCAAGACTATAAATAGGAGAATGACACAGGAGTTTTAAATATTAGATCTTTGTAGTCTTAATTACTCTAGAATTTGAAGATTATCTAATTCTGTGTTAGTGTGCTAGGAATAGCTAACTGTAAATTTCCTTCAGGGAAACGGCCATGAAAGGGACTTTATGGATGATCATCGGGTATATATTATGGATGCCTACAATAGATATATTTATCCAGGGGATGGATTTGCTAAACGTAAGTATAATTGAAATTCATATTCCAAAATGGAAGAGACCTACAGTGTTGTTAAATAATTTCTTCATTTACTAAGAAGCTTCCTTGCAACAATGTTAACTAGATTTTAATTTTTTTTAATTTCGCATTGAACATACAATTTTCGATGATTGCTGTGATACGTCACTATAGTGTTAATGCTGTAGTGTTTTCCCTCACTTCTGGAATGAATTTCTGGAATGCAGGGTGTGGGTATTATGTGGACTTTGTTAGCAGTCCATTCAAAAGGTCATTGCCATGCTTAGAACAGTGAGTTAAATAATCCTTTTGATTTGAAGATAACTGTTAGAACTTAATCTTTCCCTTACACTGAATTTATAAAAGAATTCACTACAAATTAGCTAATGCTGTGGAAAAAGGTTTCATGTTCTTTGGAAAGTTTTAAATTAGACAATATTTAGGTGTTGTCTTTCCAGTAGAACTTGTTTTATAAGGATCTAGAAAACAAGATCTGAATGTGAAAAGAGATGGGAAGTGAAAGTAAGTCATAGGAATGTAAGTGCTGGCGCTTGATGATTTTTTTTTTTTTTTTTTTGTTCTTGTCGCTTTGTTTATCCCTACTGTGATGTGCCTGTGGTCTGGTGACCTGTCACAAGTAATTAGTGGGGTTTTGCTAATGGTTAAATCGGAATGCAAAAGCCCAAAGTTTATTTGATCTTTGATTCTGTTACACTGTCATTTATTACAGGCTTAACTTATTAACTGAATCATAGTTTACTGGGGGAGATGTTCTTCTGCTGTTGAATTTCTTCAGTCATGCTGTCATTCTGAAAAGCCTACTTAATTTGAATTCTTGGCAAGAATTAGGTGCAGTGCATTGTACTTCTGTTTTTTAACTAGTAAAGATTTTGAAAATTGTAGTATATGTATTTTAAGGTATTGATCTAAAAAGTGAACACTTAAAGCAAGTAAATGAAGATTTATTTTTGTTTTCTAAGAAAAGCATCCCTTTAGTCATATATCAAATGGCAATATTTTGAACAGGTGGATTAAGACCAAGACAGAGTAAGCCCCTGTTAGCAAATCTGAAATACTGAACTTGCCCCTTCCTGTGGAGCTGGAAATACTGGCATTCCCTTTACAGTTGAAGCATGAGGTGTGGAAGGCTGCGGCCAAAGGCATGTGAATATGGAGTTACTTGTAGTTTGCATAAGGGTGTCTGGTAGGAGTTCAGAGGCTAAATCCTTTAAACTGTCTCCTGCTAGGTGACCAGGTGAAGGTGAGATCAGAGAGGGCATCTTTTTGAAGGGAGGTAGAGGCTTGAACCTGAGAGTTTGAATCCTCAGGGTAGACGCTAACTGACCACTGTTTCCCTGGACTTCCTACTCATTTTCTCCATGTTTTATTACAGGAGTCTCTTATGTACATTTTTTTTACCCTCGTGCACTTCATTAAGAAAAAGAAAAAGACTAGCTAGCACATTGCCTAATGCTTAGCCATAAGCATGTTGAGGCCCTAAGGGGAAGTAGTTTGGAATTACACTGAAGTTTAGGAAGGGAAAGAAGATGGATGGGGAAAAGGGTTAGTTTACTGAAGGATGAGCATAAAAAATTGACAGCTGAAAATCAAAGTTCAGGCCTTAAAGAAGCTTCGCTGTTGGATCGAGTGTCATTTTACAGTTTTCAAAGCTGTAGAAATCCATTCACTAATTAGCAAGACATGGACAAAAGGCTGTCAAATGCAAAAGCTGTGTTGATGCTAACCTCCAGATCCATCACTGCATCCATCAGTAGTCACTGATCAGGGTAATAACTAATCACTGTAATTCTGTGTTTTGTGGTGGTGATGAAGACAAGAGACCTGCAGAGGCATGGAGCCTTATTGACCATCGTCTCAACTTCTTAGTGTTTTCATCAGAACAATACTTATTTGTGCCGCATGCTGATGTGGTTACCACCTCCTCTGAAGCTCTATCCAGCTAGCGGATTCTTCACCGTGAAGAGCCTCTAAGTGCTGTTCAGAAGAGCACAGCTGTGCAGACTTATTTGAACATTTATAGAACAGTGAGAAAACAATTCAGGAAAAAGATGATAAAGGAACAAAAATCTTTGAAACTAATGTTGATGCAATAAGATAAAGAAAAGAAAAAGAATGCTTCGTTAATATTGAACAGGGATGGAGAGCAGAAAAAAAAACCTACCCAGCAATCACAGGAATAAATATTATTCTGTGTTGAGTACATTCATGCACACTTGGTGGGTGCTAAATCCACACTTAAGATGTAAGACTCCAGGTCACTTAATTCAAGGCATAAGGTATGGTGAGGTAGGAGTTGTACCTTGAAGTGCCTCTGACATGATTTGATTAATTCAGATTTAGAGTTACACATAACTCTGTAACAGCACCCAAAGCTAGGCTGCATAACCTTGGGTTTGTTTCCTCTACCTTCTCAACCCTCCTCTTCTGTTTCTCATGCTTTATTAGAAGCATTAGAAATAATTTGACATAAATTAAGAATACATATTTGCTCTTCTGGAAGGATTACAGGGTAAGAACATTAAACTGAAAATGCTTGGGGCAAAGCTGAATCTTGTTATACATTCATAAAGTAGTTCACATAAATTCATGATCCCTTGCTGTTAAGTTTTGAGTGTTGTGATAAAAAGAAAACATCTCAATTTCTCAGTGATGTTTATCATGTTTTTTTTCCCCCAACTGTTTCCTCTGCAATAGCAATTCAGTGTCGACTTTCTCTTATGCTTTATTTAGGTTGCTTTTAAGTTAATCATGTGCTTTCTGATTTCTTTGCTGATTGGTAAATGGACATGCAGATAAGCTGCTTTTCAATATAACTTTCAGCTTGTGTCTCAGATTTATTCCTCCCCCCCACCCCCACCCTGCATCTGATTTTCTCTCAATGGAATTTTTTCAAGATCATCATGCTTGCATTTGATGGGAAAACAAGCAGTTGGATAATTTTCTTTAATTCAAGGTTCTGTGAAAATGCAACGTATTTACAAAATTTCCAGAAATGTTACCTTGTTCTCTTGCTTGCCTAAATCTTGCTTTTTCTTTCTTTTGTTTATTGAGTAACATTAAACTTTTTTTTTAGGTGCCATAAAACGCAAGGTGGAGTTAGAGTGGGGTACAGAGGACACAGAATATCTTCAGAAGGTACATACTCAGGTGGAAGGAGCATTAAATGAATTAAAACCTGACATCATTGTTTATAATGCTGGGACTGATATTCTGGATGGCGACCCATTGGGAGGACTTGCTATTTCGCCTCAGGTTTGTAAGATATTAAAATACCTCCAGCCTTTCACTCCTCGCTAGATACTGAAAGGCAGTCCTGGGAGTGACTTGGGGCCATTTGGTAGATGAAGGTAAGGTGCACACTTTGCACTAAACTGAAGCATTTTCCTGTTATAGAGATATATAGATACATCTCCATTGCTCTTTTCACCATACGGGGTTTTTTGTTGTCTCTTCCTGACTCTAAATATTTTTATTCTTCGGCTGCCTAATCCAGTATCATTGATCTTCTCTCTAAAATATACTGGTTTTAAACATCCAGACAATAACCAGCAGGGCATATATTTTCACACTCACCTGGCCTCCTTTTCCTGTTTGATTCTTTCTTTCTTTCTTTGTTTCTTTTCCCCTCACATAACCCATTTTGCAATGTATTTCTTTTGTCACCTGCCCACAGTATGTATCTTACACTTAATTTCCTCTGTAGCACTCCCAGCTGTCTTAAACTGCCAGGTATCTCCTAGTTCTAGCAATTTTGTGCAGCCTGTCTGTGTATTCTTAGCAAATGAATAGATTTTTTCCCTTTTCTCTTTCATGTCCATACAGACGTCATTACCCTTTTTCAGTTCAGTTTACCTTCTCTCCCCAGTTTGGTACCAGATTTAAATTTTGCTTTATTCTGTATAGCTTCATAGAAGTCTTCACCTTATATTTATAACAAGTCTACTTGTCTCAAAGTGAACCAAAATTTACAGATCTCATATTTCCTCCATTTTTTAAACGATTCCTTCTCTGACAGTTGCTTGGTTCTGCCTCTCTCCTGTTTTCACATTCAGTTCTCTCTTAGCATCTACCAGTTCAATATAGAAAAGTGCTCTCGTCATTTGTGAGCTCTTGGATTCCCTTCTAGTAGAGTCATCGCTTGAGCTGTTCAATTTTAATTCTGTTTTGCAGTACTGTCGTTCTCTTGCACAGAGCTCTAGTTCCTTGCTGGTTTTTATTGGCTTCCTTTTGTGTCTCCTCATTCTTGCTGTCTCTGTCACTGAGCAGCCTTTTTGCTGCTGACTGCCTTGTAAATGGACCCATGGTGGAATGACTTGGGAGTTGCTTTGAATCTCCAGATTTTGTTTCCTTGTCTGTGTAAAAGTCTCTAAGGAGAAAACTGGAGCTGAGGGGCTTGGACTTGTTTGGTTTTGACCTTGGAGAGGATATGACATCACTTGAGGTGTAAGATGTCGTTGGTGGAGTGGAGATTTTTGGAAAGCAGAGGCCACAGAGAGAAACAGAAGCTTAGTGACAGATGGAGAATACTTTAGAGATGTGCCTTTTCAAAAACAATTTCTGCCCTTTGAGAAGGAGCAGCGTTAATTGCCAAGAAAAATGAGTTGCTGTAGCTTGTTAGGTGCTGTGTAGAGAAAGACAGACAGAATGTAAGGATGAGGAAAGAAAGGTGAAACGACTCTCCTGGTCACAAGTGGAGATGAAAGGCAGAGAGTGCCGTTTCTCTGCAACCTGGTGGAGAAAAGGTTTCTGTAGCTCAAACCTGTAGCTCAAGAATTGCGGGCAGGGTTTCACGTCTCTCTGATCTTGTTTAGCTTAGGTGTGAACGGCGTTACCAAGCTTGAAATCCCAGGCTACTGGAAATGCCAAACTGAAGGCATTGAGCCTGAATAATGCATCTCTTCAAGGTTCATCAGTTTGGTCTTCAGTCCTACAGTTGCAGATGTCATTTGTATTTTAAAATCTTGCTACACAGTTGGTTCTACTCAAAACTATGCCTCCTCAGAGTGCTATGAGTGATAGTTTCTTGGTGCTTGAGGCTGTAGGCAGAAAACTTGAGGTGTGGCAGGTGAGTCCCTCTTATCTTTGTAAGTGGGAAGTGTATTGGGCTGTTGTCCTCATTTGATGTATTTTCTTTCCTGGTAACACACAAATGCTGGAGTAAGCTTGTGTGTTTTCCCCTCAGTTCTTCCAGGCTCAGCTGCTAGAGATGCTGGAGCAGGGATGAGGCAGTTAGACTCCTATGAATAGTGACTGCTTCCCATTCTTGAATGGTGTAATGTCTCTGCTACATCCAGCGATGGTTCCCAAGGGACGTACAGCTCATTCTGTAATTTGGTTACTTCTTTTAAGGCTCTGTTCCTAATAGGATTCTTCCATTTCTGTTGCCTTCTTTTCAGTTGTTATTCCTTACTCTCATTGTTCATTTACAGAGCTGTGTCAAACTACACAAGAACCATTACTGTTGTATGGTTTTACAAAATATTTTTTCAGCTATGCTTGAATTTTATTCTTTCCCTTTTACCATTTATTTGCAGTCTAATTTTTTTTAATGGCAGGGTGATATTTCTTGATGTATTTACAGTTAATAAATTTTGTTAATAAAACTTCTGCTGCTTCTTCCTTCATTTTTTGTATTTGATTGCATTTGGATCTCTTTCCCTTTCTCAACTTTTGCAGTTATTTAAATTTTGAGTTGTACATTGTAAACGGTTGTGTATTATGTTGTTAGTCTCTTTATTTGAGGAGTTGGAGCGGATTATTTACGCCTTCTGTGTATGTGGAATTATTTGCATTTACTGTTTCTGCAAAAGTAGATTTTAGCTCTGTTCTCACTGATTTCTGAATTCTCTCTTTCCCCACCCCAACCCCCCACCCCACATGTACTTATTTGAAACCTGAGACACTCAAAATCTTCTGTTTTACAGGTTCAATGACAGTACAGTACCAGTTGGTCTCCAGGCTCAGTTATTTTTTAGTTCCATACCGTTCTCTATTTGTAAGAGGCTCTTCAGAATTTATTTTCCTTTCTGTCTGTTTACTGTTACTTACATAATGCAACTCCTTTTTCAGCTGTAGTTTCTTTCAGTTTTATTATTTTATTAAAGAAACTGGAAGCTTATAATTCAGCTAGTGATTGTGAACGTGTAAAATCTGATTTGAAGTTTTGGTTCTTCTGTAGCTTTGTGAAATCTTGATCAAGTTGCTAAAGTTTTGTCAGAGGATGCTATGCAAGTGAAGTGCAAACTAAAGCACTGTGAATTCAGACAGTCTTTCATAGTCTTAATTTGTCACCTGTAAAATAGGGTGAACATTTCTAAACTTTGTAGTCATTTTAGACTTTTAAGGCCTTTGAGCAGGAACTCTTCTAGGAATTTATACTAAAGACTTTTATCTATTATGTCTTCAAAAACCCAGTCCAGGATTTCTGATTTGCTGGTTTTCTTTTTTTTTTTTTTAATGATTATGCATGTAAACCTGCTAATGGGACTTTTAGTTGTTTTATTCATTTTGTAAAATGTAGGCCTTAATCACTTATCAAGCATCCAGTACTATAAATCCATAAACCATAGCCTAGATCTAAAATACCATATTTGTATCACTTTTTTTTTTGTAACTGTTGTAAACTTGCAGGGAATTGTGAAGAGAGATGAAGTAGTGTTCAAGGCTGCCAGAAGTCGCAGAATCCCAATCCTGATGGTGACATCTGGAGGCTACCAGAAGAGGACAGCACGGATTATTGCTGATTCCATCCTCAATTTGCACAACCTGGGGCTTATTGACAAGGAGCTAGCAACCAGTGGAGCTGGAAATCCCAAAGTAGAACAGATGATTAGAGACTCTACTAAAGACTTAACCAACTTGTCACTGCAATGACAAGTTACCAACTTTAGGAAAAATTTTGTGGGTTTAGGAGCAGGAAGCCTCCACATCATTGTCAGGGTTAATAGAACATATTTAAAAGAGACTCAACTTGTCTGTAAAACAACACAGTAGAGATAATATGCAGTCACAGGATAACTGTGTCTAACTTCTGAAGCTATTGTGAGCAAAGGCAACAAATCCTTTTAAGCTAATTGGGGCATATACTCAAGGGTACTGTCTTTCAGTTTATAGTGTTACTGTAGAAAGCTCTAATTGCTTCTCTTACTGTTGTGGGTAGTCTATTATGTTGAAAAAACTATGCTGTTGGTGTCCAAAGACTGTCCCAGACCTATTTCAGATGATTGGACTGTGGTGGGAGAGATGTGGACTAAGCCTACTGGCATTTTTTTCTTAGATACTGCATTTTATTTATTGCCTTTTTAATGAAATCTTGTTATAAAACGAGTTCTGTGCAGGCTTCAACTGTCAGTTTAAGGCTAAACTTAAGTGCAATACTACCAAAAAAAAACCAGTTCAGTTGATAGGCTTTTAAGTCATAGCCTGTTAGAATGAAAGATCATTAGTTTATATTTTATTCCTGTTGTTGATAGTGACTTAAATCCTACTTATAAACACCTTGAGAAATAGAATATGGAATACTGTTGGTCCATATGCAAATGAGCCATAAGTGCTTGGCATTAACAGTCTGGTTTTTGCCTCTCCTAAAATGAGACCTGCGTATAAGAGGCAGTGTGTACTATGCATCGTGAATCATGGAGTAAATAAAACTACAAATGAAAACTAATTTTAGAGTTCTGAGAATTCTTGCAGAAAATATTGAGTAGAAATACAAGGTATCTTTTATTATTGCAAGCTTGTCATGTATAAAACAGTGAAGAGTAAATTTTTTTTTTTTTCCCCAACTAGTGCTATGTTTTCCACTTGCTGGAAGAATAAAGGTACTCATAGTTGCAGTCATAGTTGGTAACCAAATTGTTTGTATTTACAGATAAAAATACAGTGAAATTTCTAATGTGCTAATTTTAGGTGGGAGCTTCTAGGAGGATTTGGGAAAAAAATAGTGTATTCAAAAGCAAATTTAATACACTAACTGTAAAGTTTGGTTTTATTTAAGTTGGTATATTTTGCATTAGGTACTGTTTATAGCATTGCGTCGTAAACTTACTAAACTGTATATTTTGCGAGAGCTTTTTTTAACTTCCAAGTGTTCACTGATTTGTAGTACGAGTTTCATGTCATGTTTAGGTTTGAGCGTTTCTGTGAAGGAGCACCAATATTTTCCTTGTAGTAGAATCGGTGTGTAAGCTATTTAAGGAATGTTTAATTCTAATTAGAATACTTACCTTACTTAGTGTTAATTTTTAGATTGATGGGGTTTGTTAATTGTAAGAACTTGCACAATTGCTATAAATGTCTGCTTTAAAACAGATTTGACATATTGCACTAATCTTGAGTTGCAACACTGTTATTAAAAAGCACTTTTAAATTTCATACTAGAAGGACCATCAGAGTACAACTAATGTTGAGATTTATTTTTTCTATATTGTCTGATGTTACTGAAAGGTGTTATTTCATATAATTTTTATAAAATTATAAATTACGTTTCTATAAACTAAAACCCTGTTACAGTACCATACAGTCTTTTCCAAAACCTTTTCTGTTTGTGTTAGCATGTCTATATTTTTTTCCCTTGGTGAAGATTAAAATGACATTGAATAACACTAACTGACTTGACTTTTCACTTCACATGTGTCTTGGCTGTCAAAAATTTTGAATGGAACAGTTTATTGAAACGACAAGAGGATGTGTTTTTCGTACGTGAAAACGTAACTGAAACTGCAGTGAGTCTTAAGGGTGAACAGTACAAGGTTTGTCAACAGTGGATGACTTCTCTGAGAGTTAATGTGTTGCCCTCTTAAAGTGAGCTTTGGAAGTTTTGTATCCAGAGAGTTTTTATGTTGTCATAAGGGGTTGAAGTCACTTTCTCGTTCCAAGTTAGATTCCATTACCTATATTGTAGTTCCTATTTTAAGCATTTTACTGTTACAGGTATTAAACTGTAAACTAAGCTTCTGTTAAGGCTGCAATCGTTTGTTAGAGGTCTTTTATAAATTAGTATCTTTTCAGAGAGAATTAAATGTTTGCAGAAGAGCCTGCTAGCTTTCAGACTCATCTGTAAAATTTGCGATTGTTAAGCGGCAGACATACTTGACTGCATTTTCATTTTTCATTATAAAGTTAGAACTGGTGAACAGGTAACTCCTCCTTCATATTTTTCAAAAATTTTAATTTAGTGTTATACTTGATTTGGTTGTTAAAACCAAAAATGAATTTCTACACATCAAGAAACTGGTCCAAGATAAGTGTGTATTGTTTTCCAAGAGAAGTGGTGAAACTTCGAGTTGAATTTAGACCATAGATATGATTCATAGTTAATATACTGTTATCATTAGTCAAAGTTCACTGAAAATTTCTTCGTGGAAAACTTGCTTTGACCTACCACCATCAAAATTTTTAGCTTTGTCAAAAACTTTTGTGGAACACATGGACCTGTAAAAGTCTGCTAGGAGAATGCTGTGTATTCACAAATTCTACAGGGAAAAAGTGTGGAGTGTTTGTGTTTTGGTTTTGTTAATGCAGTTGTAACTATGAAATCCTCCCATAATAGGAGGGAGTGTTTCAGAACTGATGCCCTAACTTACAACCAAAAAACGATCTTGAAGAAAGACCTAGCAGGTCTTGTCTTTCATAAGAAGATATTAGTTTTGACTCAAATTACTTAACAAAGAAATAGTGAGGATTGTTCGGTAGTTTACATTTAGTGTATGAACATGCATTTCTTGCTAGTCATCCATGTGTGAAATTTATTTGAAAAATAAACTGAAGAGTTTGTGTTTTCATCTATTCAATTTGACAATTGACGCGTCAAGCTCCAGCCCCCCTTGCCTCTCTGACATTCGACCCCCAGTATAGAACTTGGCATTGAAAGCACTGGGTGTTGTGGTCGTAGCCTTACACTGACCAAACTTTAGCTTTAGGTGGTAATATCAGTCTCTTTCAGAAGGAGAGTATGATTTTGTTTGTTTGATGTTTTTTTGAACACCCTGCATTGTGAAGTCCCAGGCTTGTATCATGAATGCAAGGAAGAATGAGAAATGCTGTAAGTCAGACAGCTATAGTTATTATAAAAAAAAAAATTTACAAAAATTAATTGGTAAATAGACTTTTGGGGGGTGCAGGTAGTGCTTTTGTTTGGCAAGTAATAAATGTCCATGCTCCCAGGTTCTCTACTCCTTGCTGTTCTTCAGCTTGAGGAACCTAATGATCCTGAAACCATTCCCTGGTACCTTCTGGTCCTGCTACCAGAGTAAGCTGTTCAGCAGTGTTTCTGCCTTCTCTTGCACAGACAGCAAGCAGACAATTCTTTTCAGTGGTGGCTGCATATGGGTTTTGTGGTCTGTGAAGCGACACTTTAGGAATTTCTTGTACTTTTACAAATTGTGCTATACAGTGGTGTCCTACATGCAGCATAGCCACTTTGGGGAGAACACTCTCTGACAAATCCAGAAGTTATGAAGTTGGTAATCTTGGATCTAGACTTTGCTCACACTGTGCTGCCAGGAGCTGAAGGAGCTTGCTGAGTTCAGAAAGCTTCAGGGTCTAGGATCTTGTGCTGTGTGTTATGCCAGTTTTTGAATAACTGAAAACATTCTTTCAAGAAAACTGCAGTCCCTTGGTGAAGAAGAAAGTTCACTTGCTGTCTTTGCCCAATGGAAGATAATCTTCCTTACACCTCCTAGTTGATTCTGAAATGCAGAGCATATAAGAAGCAATAATACAGGGCCTAATTCCAAGTGGTGCTGTGTCCTGAACTTGACTTTAGCACAGGTTGTGTGTTCTGCAGCCATTCTAGAGGCCAGCTTGCAAATTGTTCGGTATGTGCCAGCCTGTAGCTTAAGAGTTTAAATGGGTGTGATTTTTCAGGTTTTAGTCTTTCCTTGACCCTGATGCTTTTGATAATCTCTTAGATTTCCCATCCAGTGATCATCTAATTTTCCCTTCTTCATCTTACACTTTATGCAGGACATTTTGCTACAGCCAGTCACCTTTTACGAAAGATCAATAGAATTAATTTCTTCTAAAAAGAGATGATGTTTTGGGAAGCTGTATGAAGAACTAGTTCCTGTTACTAAGCCTGATTCTCACTGCCATGGTAAGCCTAGGAGAGAACATAAATCATTTCTTCCTTCAGAAGTAACATTAGAGATCATTAGTTGAACTGTTTGTTGTCAGATATAAGGCTAGTTACGTATTTCACTAATGGTAACTAAACTCTTGTTTTGCAGTTGAGAGTAGATGTCCTTTGAGCTTGACTGAACTGATTATTCTGGAGATGCATGTTTGATTTGTGTTTTAAAAAAAAAAAAGAGAGAGAGAAAAGGAAAATAGAAATGTATTCAAGGCCAACCTAAAATAGTGCGTCTTGTCTTTATAGTGTCTTAAATTTAGTCCTTAGTAGAGATAGAACAGATTGCAATGCTTTGTAAGAGCAAAGAGATATCTCCTTTCTTTCACTTTTGACACCCAAGAAAGATTGTACTTAATCCTCTGAGCCAAAAGCTTGGCATTTGTTCTGTGATTTATTTTTCCTCCCCTTGTATTTGCTACAGGTACAGAAGAGGGCAAAATAGACTTTAAGGTCTATTTAGGTCTATAGCAGAGATGGGACAAGGAAACTGAAAATATCCTAAACGAAAAGCTGCAGCTTGCTCTCTGCTTTCCTTGTTTGTGACATTAAGAGCTGCAGCCAGCAAAAGCCTCTTTTCTTCTTTGCTGTATGAATCAAGTAGGATCTTTACTGGTATATGTGGGTATCGGTGTATTTATTCGCTTCTTCCATATATTGTATCCTAGCTTCTGTCTCTCTTCAGTCTTTGCTGATCTTTCCTGTGACAACTGTCTACCAAAAGCATTACCAAGGACATTCTGCCTTTTGGTGTTGGTAAGCAGGGGTGTTTCTGTGTGGACTGTTCTCCAGCTGTGGTACAACTTCTTGCTGACTGATTCTCCCTTTATAGAGACCTCAAGCTACTTAG